ATATAAATGTACGTCTAAAATTGCTTTTATTCCAAGTTAAGGCTATTTTTATATTAAATATTTTTATATTAAATAAACAATGTTCTAACATTGTTTATTTTTAAAGAAAATTCTCGAAATGACTTCCTTGTTTTTTCGAAATAATCTCAGCACTGTTTTAATATAAACTCTTTCCACCTGTTCACAAATTCCACGCAAAAATATTCGTTAAATTTTTTGACAATCTTATTCAATATGTCGTTGGAGCATTTCAATATTGTCAGTTAGTAACTCTGAAACTTACTATTTAAGTGCAGTAGTATCTCCAAGACGATCTGTCCTTTGAAATGTTTTATCATTTAACAGATGCCATTAAGAAATTTTTACATATACAAGCGTCTTATTTCAACCATATTGATTTTATCAAGTCCACGTGTATCACATATTGGACGTATGTCTATCACTTCTTGATTCGAATAAATTTCCATAATATAACAGTTGTCAAATTATTTATTCAAATGTTAACTATTTTCGAGGATGCATATAAATTCTACATGTGTATGAGGACTATGGTTCAGATGAAACAAAAATAGCTGTAACTTAAAATAAAAGTGACTTCGGATATATGTTTATATATATATATATTTTTTTTTTTTTTTTTCTCCTTAAGTCCTGGATCCATTTTTGTAGTGGGTCCCATATATTGTCAAACTTGGTACGTGTATATACGTGCGCGCACATGCTTGTATGCGTGCGCGTGCGCAATTTTCATAATTTCATCGACTTTTTCATTATATAAGATGAAGGTAAGGATAATAGCATGGTGGGAGGACAAAGACGAACTTTAACAGAAGCACTGTGATACTAACAAAATTAGATAAAATTAGATTTGATTCTTCTTACACGTTTTTATGAATTTAGGTGCCAGACACTCTATGTAACATAAAAGTTGAATAGTCAGTATGATGATGAATTTCTAATGTGATACAAATGATTCAAACCTTGAGCATTGGTTGACGTGGCTCTATATATTGCGCACATATTCTATCTACGTTTGCGATATGTTACTCTCAAAGCACCAGCCAGACTATGGCGCAAATGACTTCAATGTCTTTTGAGGTTGAATTTCCAGTATGAGATGTTGAGCCTTTGAACAATCAGAATGAATGCAGCATACGGTAGGTATAACACTGATTTCAAGTTGTTTGGTCTCTTAGGGTATCAAATCAATATATACCCGTATATCCACATGTATGTTTCGACTGTGCTCTTTTTGAAATGTACACTAATAAAGTTTCTTTGCAAATCGTTTTGTATCATGGCAAGAGGTATCCGTATTTTCGTGTGATCATTTTTTTTTTCTTTGTGAAGGTAAGGTGGAGAATATTAATTTGTATAGAAACTTGTAAGATTTCAAGCAGAGACCAAACAACTCAAATCTTAATCACCCAGAAACCTTTTACCTTTAAGCCTCAAAAGAATCGCGCCTCGTCATAATAATGCCTCTCATTTAAACTTACAGCTTATATTGACAAATAAAAAAAAGTGATGTCATGTTGATAACAAATTGACACCACAAAATGCAAACAGGCGAAAGTGTACATCTAAAAAAAATTTTTTTGGTCAACTTGTATGGAAGATAAAATAGACGTGGCTCCCAACTTATTCTAGGGCTATGCAATTTATTTTATCGCACCAAAAAAAAAAACTTATAAAACCGAAATCACCATCGATCGATGATAGGCCGTGTGATTTTATGTTGAGATAAAATCTCTGATTACGAATGTGATATGCGAAATACTAGAAATATACGTCTTAGCGGTACGTGAAAGGTGAGAGACGAGTTTATATAATAATGAGGTTGTGTACCAATATAAATTCCTAACTAAGAAATTTATCTGGTAATAAAAGAATCTTATCAACCTTTTACATCGTATCCCTATCTCGGACCCCTGCTGCTTCTTAACGGTACAAACGTAGATTACGAACGATTCTAATACCAGAAGTGCATAACAATCTTATGCAATCGAGGAAGATTGGCCACAAAGGCACTTTTCGGCATTAGTATCGTATCTCTGAATAATACATGCAGATCGAAGTGAGGAGTTAGAATTAGAACATCATCGTGTACAGGAATAATTAAATGATAAGTGTATGTGTGTATGAAGAGACAGAAATGGATAGTGCGCGCACGAGACATGTTTGCACGTACTAAAAACGGAAAAAGCAAAGACAAGTGGCACGACGATCGAAGAGACAAAGAGACGCATATGCACGATCGTATAGGCATTATGCCAAAAGGAATCACGAGGATTCGGCTGTCATGATTATCGAGTCTTTAGTTTTACCGTTAACGAAGTAGCTTTGGTTTCCTCTTTTTTGTCGAAGGTCATCACGATCTTTAATAAATTTGATAACTAGGTGTTCTCTCTGTGGTATAGGAAAGCAATGGACAACAAAGGACAGAGTTATGAAACGCTGTTGGAGAATAGTACTGGCTTCAACAATCCAAACAACATAAAATATCTGTGCGATTTAATCGGTCTCGGACAAGAGAATCACTCCAACATGGTTGGCTTGAGGTAAGATGTCTTATATAAGGTATCTCTGGACAAAATGATCTTGGAGGTGGTAATAGGTAGGAGGTAAAATGGAGTGAAAAAGCCATTAGGGCTCCGGAGTAGTCGCTGTGACCATATTGGATTCGTGACATAGGCGAGAAATGACACGTATAATGAGAAATATTGTGTCATTTGTAAATAAAGAGATATTGAATATGAAGCAGGTATAAAACAAAACTCTCTTTTTTCCTTTCTGACAGTCAATAAATAGTCAATAAAATGACATGTAATATAAGGCCCTTTCATGGATTAGGAAAATTTTCACGAGTTAGGAAAACGCATGGTTTTATAATTGTTGGAAAATAGGCCGTCATGTGTAAAATTGTAAGCTCGGTTTTCGTCCATTTTTACGGGTTTAATAAATATGTAACAAGTCGCACTTGCACAATTAATTAATTGAGCAAATAATAAGGAAATAACAGGCAATACAAAATTTCGCTGTCAATACTTTTTCATGCGTATGATAGTGCGGTCCAGAAAACGCTACAAATACTTTGAAGCGTTTCTCCTTTCTTTCTTCTTTTATTCGGATCCAAAAGGTGAAGAAGAAACGCTTCGAAGCGCTTGCACTTTATTAGTATATGTTGTTTTAAACTGTGTTCATGGCTGACTATTCCGGAATCTTAACATGGTTTAGGAAACTTATATTTAAGCAGATAAAAATTTTCGGTGTGGCCACTGTTTTCTTTGATGTATGTGTAATTAGAACATTTTTATATATGCAGATTGTCTGACGCAACGTCCGCTTGTGCGAGGATAGAACTCCTCAAACTGTGCGGAAAATTCTATATTTTACAAACAATCACGATAATTATTGGGATATGAATTAAAAATAGCGATTGAATGCACGTGATGCGCTGCGACGACCACAATTTCATATCAATACAAAACTTTTTCTTATAGTTTTTTATGAGTTCTACCTGCACAGGAGCGGACATCAGACACTGTATATTCTGCGTGTGATTCGACTGTTTCCTAGACACGAACACATCTAGTGAATATTTGCATATTCACTAAATGTAAAAAAACATTGTAACGCTCAGCTTTAGACAACGTAAAACAGATTCGTAAGCGTTTGACAGTACTTAAATTAATAAAAAAATATATATATATTTCGTTATGTAAACATAAACACCGCACGTCGGACACTCGCAAAGTTTATGAGATTTTATGTAATGTCATGAAATTTGAACATTTGAACATTATGAGATTTTAGATAATGTCATGAAATTTGAACATGGGTGTCTTTAAATAGATTCTTTAACGTTTCATCTAACTAAATATGTGTATGTTTTCGACTATATTGATACGGTATTTTTATCTTTTATTCTCTCCTCTTTTCGTCGAGCAATTTCCTTAAAAAAATCATTTTTCTCAGACACTGTATATTAATGGAAAGAAATGTAAGCGTATGTTTAAACTTTGAACAATTTTGCTTGATGCGCAGAGAAAGATTTCCACCTAACGAATACGCTTCTGAGTTGAGACAAGCACAAGCGAGCAAGTGGGCATTCCGAAGTGTCGCAGAGGGTATAGATCATTTCAAGGCTGGTCGTCACACTGAAGCTTTTCAGTGCCTCAATAAAGCACTTACTGTTGATCCTCGCAACGTCGAAGGCTTAGTCGCCCGAGGAGCATTGTACGTTTCCTATTAACACTGCCGTCCGCACATTTCATCAGGATTTTTTTGTTTGACGCCGGCGGTTTTTCGAGGTTTTCGGGAGATCATAAATCGTCAATTCTCATTACTTTTCAATCCTGTCCCGCTATTTTCATGAAATTTCGAGGATATATGTAAATAAATGTAACATTTTTTTGTATTTATTTATTTATTAATATTTTATTGGGTACTTAGTATTTCTCTTTTAGATGATACGAAGCAAAACAATCTCCGAGGTGTAACGCGACTCCACAAGACTGACACATTAAATTTGTTGTCCTTCTTTTTTTGTTTTTGGAACATACATGGCACTTTCTTCGTTTTCGTTTGTCGGTTTCGGAAATTTGTATTAGCTAGCGTTGCTTTAGCTGACCGGAAAGTCTGTCGATCGAATCATGATATCTGTAACTTATTGTTACTTAAACAGAACACCAACAGTACACAATCAGAACACAAACGGCAGCACAGTGCTATCACCGGCCTTTGCGTGATAGTTTTGCGCACGATACCAACGTGGTGTCGCCGGCCTTTGCGCGATAGTTTTCGCGGGACACCAACATGGTGTCCCCGGACGGCATAGTGTTAAAATTCTCAATATAAGATACAAATATATATTTAGTGTGTGCGCACAAACAAATGTATTGAAAATTCTCACCTTCTATTATAGATATGCAAATAGTGGAAGTTTCAAGAAGGCGATCGACGACTTTGAGACAGCACTGAAATTAAATCAAACACATGTAAATGCTCGTAAGTATATGGCGGAGACTCTTGTTGCGCTCGGCCGCAGTTACGAAGATGAGAAGAAGTACGAAGATGCTCAGAAGGCGTACGAAAACTGTCTGGCTATTGCTCCATACCACGAAGAAGCACGGAATTCTATCGAGTATGTAAAATCTAAGACTCTTACAGCATCATTGAATCCTCTGGATACTTTTAAGAGCTTTGAAGCCGAAAACGATGTTGTGGAAAATAAAAAGGATAAGAAGAAGCGCAAGAAGGAGAGGAAATCTAGATCAAAGAAAAGACAGAGATGGAGTTCCAGCTCGAGCTCTTCATCCAGCGGATCTTCAAGCTCTTCAAGTTCGGACTCCAGCAGCTCTTCGTCATCTGGAAGTTCACGATCCGTCTCTCGCTCGCCTAATCGCAAACGCAAGCATAAGAAAGATCACCGTAGCTCACTTTCTCCGCTTAGCAAGCGAATGGCACAATATAATAATCCTCCGGCTGCAGCTACCACCACCCACGATACAATCGCGCCAACTTCTTACACCACGAACACTCGCGAGAAAATGGATGACTATGAAATCAAAGTACGCAAGTTTCTAGAACAAACCAAGGATGATTCCGATTACGAGGATAAGGTAAGTATCGTTTCACTCTGTCAGGCTTTCTCAGCAGCTACATTTCGAGATGTGAAATTTAAAGTAACAACAAGAATTGTTTTGTATGAATTCAGGTAAGGAAGTTTCTGGAAGAGACAGCAAGATGGAAGAGAGAAAGGGAGAAGGAAAAGAAACATTCTGAAAGCGAGAAATTGAAGAAGAAGAAGAAGAAAGAGAAGAAAGGGAAGGATAAAGAAAAAGAGGATAAGAAGAGTCGAAAGAAGAAGAAGAAGGAAGAGCGTAAAAAACGTAAAAACAAGGACAAACTTGAACGAGATTTAGAAGCGCTGAAAAAATCGTCTTTACCGGATTTGGAGCAATTAGAATCCAAGCTTAATGCTTATTACGCGAAAGTTGAGAAAGACTGTGCGGCGCTAAAAAGGTTGGAATCTTTATTGGAATTTTCTCATAATATGTATTGAGTTCAGGTTTTTTTTCTTTTATAAAATACAAATTTATCATCTTAAAATTTAACTTAATTTCCTGCCGTATAACGTACTTTTCATTTACACTATTTTAACGTCATCAGCTATCGCAATTGAACGGAAATCGCGCGGCCGTCAGATATCATATTCTACTTGTGTTTTTATATTTACTAGGTATGTAGCACAGTATAATGACATACCTTCCCCTCTTAGCAACGCGGAGAAGCTCGCTGAGAGTTCGCGCAGGGAGGAAGAACTGCGCAGAGAGAGGGAGAGAGAGAGAGACGAAGCTTCGAAGGCGTATCATGAACGAGAACCTAGGGTACCGATGACCGCGCAACAGAGAAAAGGTGCTTATCGAAGTGTTGCTTGTACACTAAATGAACAATACGATCAAGTGTCGTTATCCCTTGTAGAAATCCAGAGGAAGCCGTTAACCGACATATTTGAACAAGAATCCCAATTAATTCACCCAGAACCGAAGCTTCCCACGCTAGATACCGCCGCATTGAATGCTAAGTGGAAGGCTGCGCAAGCTGCTAGGTGAGCAATCAGATTCCATTATTTATATATAAGGTATTTTAGAATAATTGAAACAGCCGTTAAGGCTCTGCGACGATTGTACTGGGTTATGACGTCACATACAGTAGAGCTCGGCAAAAGTTGCGGCCGATTCTCAGCTAGTTCGTCTTTATTCATTTATAAAAATAACAATTACTTTGCAAACAATATCTTTATGACAGTTTGGTAGAAGGTACCCAGCATGTGTCTCATGCGAAGGGACGTTCCTGAGGTAGAACAATCGGTAGCTCGAACTTGGAGCGAGTGAGAGTCGTCGCCCCTGAAAAGGGCATTTGATTCCCAGCACTGAGTTATAAAGAGTTGTTTCAATTTTCAATGGACTAGGAAATTACTGAAAATATCAATTTAAAAAAATGCATCAACGATAGTACTTGAACTGCATGCGGAGCAATGAGGTAAAAGGAATGGTACAGGGCGGCGGAGCCAGCTGATAATCAGCCGAAATGTACAATTTCCGCCGAGCTCTGACAGAATACATTTCTTACATATAGCTGTATTTCTTAATTATATCCAATAAATATAATAATTTCGTAATCCCGAAATTTATGAAATATACAACAAACTGAGATGTCTGTTCAATATGTCATGCAGAATCGCAAAATAATTTCTGAAATAACGATATATTTTTCATGTCTGTTAAGCTGGTACAACATCCATTTCAACACAATCGAATGGAATTTATATAAAAATTGCTTTTTTGACGCTAATTAAGTACTAATAACTAATAATTCGAAGTTTTGGACAATGATGCGAGCCCATATATGCTGGCGTCTTCTCCCTCCCTTAAAGGCACGGTGGGAAGTATACTTCCCACCTTTTTTCTTTCAGATTTTCATTGTTATATTTGGACTGGTTTCTCTCTCCCTCTCTCTAGAGAACATATATTTTCCAGCGACTTTAGAACCGAATTTAGGTGTTAAAACTTACATATAGGGCTTTTTTTTTGGAAATGATACAATCTACAGCATAGACAAAATTTTGCTTATGCTGAGTTTCTGCAATTATGGTCGGCCATATTGGATCCATTATCTTGAATTTTAGGAAATACTCTATTTTGACTCAAGATTCGTAATCAGATTCGGCCCTAAAAACTTTCGGATACCAAATTCGAAATAATTTGGTTGATTCGCTGCAATTTCGTTCCTCTATATTGGATCTGCCATCTTAGATTTAAAACATATTTCAATAATGATTCGTCGTGATCAGCGACCCTACAAATCCCAAAATTGATGAAAAATAAGCGGGAGGAAAACTGCACTTTAAAGGATTAAGCCCGATGATCTACAATGTGTTCTTTGTTCGTTTTATTTCTTGTCTCGTTGTTTTTTGACGCACTGTTTTACTGACGATTGTGTGTTTTGTCGTTTGCCTCCACCGAAGTTTGTTAACTTTTATCTCGGGCGACAAGAAAAATATTGGATTGGCAAAGTTACCATTGAAAAACTAACTTATAACAGTAATGGCGTTATAAATTATGCGTTACTTTTTACAAATAACTCTGATTAAAAGTACTATGCTGTTATATAATGTGAGTGGCATGATATTTATAATAATGTTTAAATAATTACGCTAAACATATTTTAAATAAATGGCCTTTTTTTGAAGAAAAAAAACTTGTTCGGATTCTAGGGCCGCACTCTGTATTTATGTAAGGGAAAATTAATTACCAATTAATATTCTTCTTCGGCAAACTCGTACCGCATGAAATATCGATAAATTTCGACTATTCCCAAATTGATTTGTCTAATCATAATGCCCCTCGAAACAATGAAAAATGATGTTATGATGTTAACGAAAGAAAAAAGGGACTTACGACTTCGCAGGCAGTCTCTACGCCGCTTCGGTCTTGCTACACTCTGCTGGCATACGTGTGATGCTGAAATCTCTTTTCGTTGCCAATTTTGGAACGGCTGGCCATCTATAGCTAATATTTTATTTTTGCACCTAGGGCTCTCGCTCTACAAACTGTTTGGTTCGGATTTGCACGTCCCAATTGATAAAGTTTCCTCGTTAAGTAAGATTCGTTAAAAGCGTACATTGCAAAGAATTTGCGCCAAGTACGGGAAATACAATAATATTTAGTATTGCACAATATCCGCTTAACTATACGAGTTCACACACGCGTGTGCTTTCAGACAAAAGGACGTTCCTTCGCAAAAGTGGCAAGATGTACCGGACAGCAAAAAGTTGCAATCCAACGTTTTCGTGGACAGCGACGATGATGACGATAACGAGATAGAAGAGAGACTTCAACGCGCGGCCCTCGAGAAGTCTTTGAATATACGTAAACAAATGCAACGCGAGCTTGCGGAGAAAAGAGCAACGCCAGCACAGCCGATGTCCGCACCGACACCTCCGCCACCATTGCCGAAAGAGCCACCGATTCCAAAGCAAGCGCCCGTCAAGTACCCTACGCCACAGCCGCAAAATAAATTCCAGTCGTACAAGGACCCATCGCTGTCCGTGCCGCAAGCGACGCCTAAGTTCGGTTCTAGCAACAATTTGGGTGGCAAGTTCCAACCAATCGGGCAGAATAGCGGACATCCGCCGGAACCACCGCGTCCACCGTCGACGAAGAGTCAAAGCCAAGCCAAAGGGCCGAGAACCGATTCCGACAGCGAAGCCGAGCGTCAGCATCGGCACACCCCGAAGAAACGCGAATCGAGCAGCAGAGGCGGCGGGGTGAATAAAAGAATAAGCCGAGATCGTCCAGCGAAGCGATCTCGCAGCAGATCCCGCAGCGCCTCCAGCTCGGGATCGTCGAGGTCTCGATCGCCGAGACGAAGCCGCTCGCGATCGTATTCGAACCGACGATCCGGGAGTTACGAGAGAAAGTACAGCAGATCGCCTTCAGGCACGTACAGCAGATCGCGATCAAGGTCACGATCTAGATCGTATACGAGAAGTCGCAGCCGCAGTAGGTCGGGCGACAGGGGTTACTATCGTAAGAGGCAATTTCGGCCGTATAATAATCGCGGTACGTACTACAAGCCGCGCTTTCAAGGATTCAACAATCCGAATCACCGTGGTGGCGGCAACAATTTCCAGAACCGGAACCGCTTCTACAACAATCAACACAACAATCGTTTCGGCAATCGACGCGGCGGTGGCTTCAATAATCGTGGTGGCGGTCGCGGCCGCGGTAACCGTGGCGGTAGATTCTTCCACGGTAAACAGGGCTTCCGCGATTTCCGCGACAGACGAGACTTTCGAGACCGACGCGCGACGTCGCGCGACCGCTACAGCGATCGCAGTTACTCGCCCGATCCGATGCGAAAGGTCGACGAGGCGAAAGAAAAGATAAACAAGATGCTCGAAGGTGGCGACGACGTCGAACATCAGCAAGGTAGCGGCGGTTCGACTGTACCGCCCAACAAGAGACAAGCCGGACCCTTGAGCGAGGGCGAAGAAAGGGACGATGATGACTATGAGAGGTGGGGAGAGGGAGAGGGGGGCGACACAGCTAACAAGGTTGGTTAGGTTCCGCGTAGGCTTTCGCGAATGAATAGGCAGTCTTCTTCATGATGATCATGATAATCCGGATGATGATGAGCGAAGGAATAGTTGATGACAATGATGACGGTGGTGATGATGATGATGATGATCAGCCACGCGCGCGCGAGGAAACTCGAGTCAGGGGCCAACTAACTCTCGTTTGTTGCCAGAGTGAGGAGGTTGGACTCGCCGACCTGGAAGGCAAGGAGTACTTCATTGAGCGCATGAAGCAGCGAAGCAAGAATGTTTTAATGCAGAGAGCCATTGCAGCTAAGACTTGGTAGATACTGCTGTCGTCGTCACCGTCGCACTGCTTCTCTGTTTCTCCTTCGTCTGTGATATAGTTTCTTTTTCAAACTATAGTTAACGGCTCTGACCGAATCACGTGAGGCACACTTTCGTAGATTTATATATAGTACTGCTCATTCTTTCAACAAACGTATCTAGTTAATTTCATCCACATGTATGGCGTAGCAATAATTAGGCCGTTTAATGCTGTTGTTTTGTTCAACGAAACATACGATCGGCGAGTGGCTTTCATCGTTATGCATTATCGGAAAAACAATATTGACTTCTTTTTACCTCACCGTACAATTTTTCTTCGTGCACATGGACAGTCATGATATCCTTAACACTTATGTTGCTAAGGATACTACTATTTTTGACCGTATGCATACATGTGTATACTTTTGAAAGTCGTAGGCACTGTGTGTGTTCAAGTATATATGCCAGTCTGTGTAATAATGAAATTGAGTTTCATGTGTATTGAATTGAGGAGGAGAAAGTCCTTTTGAGTTGAGAATAAGTCTCTGAGCATGATCGAGCGGAAGACTACGTATTTTTATTTTGTGAGATAGCCTGCTGTTGCGATTCGTTGAAATGCCTAAATAGATACTTTCGTTTTGTTTGTATCTTCGTAATTAAGGATGAAACCCGGAAACGCAGTCACATGCGAATGGTATCCCTCTTCGGTCCATATTTCTTAATTTCCCATAAAACTTTGTGAAAAACGCGAATATGCTATTATAATCTCTTCATTATGAATTATTATTTTAAGTCATATAGTAATAGAATAAGGATATTCATGTATGTTGTATGTAAACGACATTGCTGTACAATTGAAGATCCCAAATACACGTAAAACAAATCTGCAAAGCTCAGTAATTTCTTAATAATTTAACATATTCTGAAGAAAATTAATATTTACAGGCTCATTTAGAATAACCATCCCGATGAACAATCTGGTAAATGTTTGCGTTTCACCGTGTATTTTTTTTTGTGATAATAAAACAAATTATGAAAAGATATTTGTATATATTTTGAAGAGGGGGCATGAAGTTTTTTACCCAACATTTAAATTTTATTTTCTGCCGAACTTTTTCCTTCATGCGTTTACATTGTCATCTATATTAGTCAGTCATAAGATCGGAGTAAAACATTCATGGACACGTTCCACAATGGTCAGAAGTATGTCGAAATAAAAATTCTACCCGGACATATGTTCCTCTTTCTGATCATACTGTGGTAATTGGGAACGTATATCACACCATGTTCGCTCTCGATATTTTGCGGCAGTACTTGGATTTTTACTATGATTTATGATCAAGTAATGATAACCTACAATGAAAGAGAGGGAAGATTGGGCTTTGCAACCGATGTTGATGGTCGAGCCGACATAAGATAAACAACGCGCATCGACAGGCTTGCTCCGCACCGGAACGAAACGCAATCAGCGACGTACACCAGTCGACAATGAGGACGGAAGCGTCCGCAGCCAATCGCGAACCATTGTCGTCGCCCAATCAGCGACCAGTGCATTCGAGGACCGAGGATCACGACGATCGGCTTTCTCAAAACATTTTGTCCCGGGTAGCCTCGTTATTCTCGCGGGAGACAACGAGTAAAATTGGCGCGCGTGGCTGACTCAAAAATGAAAATCCGCAAAGATTGAATCCGGTAAACTGGGTAAATCGTGTGAATCGAAAACAGGGTGTGCTGGAAGAATCGTGAAGAGGCTGATGATGGGAAACGACGGCACGGAGGCGCGTTGAGGTATTAAATTCGAATTTATTTATGTTTCGCTCACAGAACACGCTGACGAATTTAATGAATAATCGCAACTCCCTAAGTTAATGATCCTTATCGAAATTGACGTTAACAGTCTTCTTACAATGCTTGTTCCCTTGCGGCTTTTACAATAATCGAGACGAAATTACGTAACTAATCGGTCGCCGTGGCAGCCGGCCCTTCGACGTCGAAGGGCGTCCTCTTTTTGTCTCTCCTCACCTCTGCCCGCGTTCTAAACTCGAGATATCGACTATCCCCTAAACACGTGTTCACGCTAGTACGAGCTGAATTGTGTGCGATATACATGTAAGTTATGTTATATTATATTTTTGTTTCTCATATATATAAATACGACGTTTTCTAGCTAGAATAAATTATTAAAATCTACGTGGTAATAATTTCAAGGAAGTGAGGGAGGGAGAGAAGGAGCGGGGAGACACGGAGTGTCTCTCGCTTATCTATCTATTTACATGAGGGGGAACGAAATGCATCGCGCGTCAACTCCGCAGACTCGAAGCTCCACTTTTGACAGCTTAGATCTGCAAAGCGCGCAGCCGCTTATTTTCAGTAGTTGTTCTATGTATATTCCAGCCCGGCGCCTAGGTTTCGCAGGGCAGTACTGTACTCACAATCCTGGGCCGGAATATACATAGGACAACGACTATTTTCTTTTCTTGAAAAAAAAAAAGAATAACGCGGCTCTCGAGAACCTTCGCTCTATCTTCTAAAGTAAAATGCGTTCGCTGACGCGACGCGCGCGTTGTGGCAGTGGGTCGCTCAGAACTCGCTGATTAAGGCAGTTGGGCATGCCTCGAGAACGGAAAACAGGGGGTGGATCGGGAATACGTGTCCCTCGCGGAAGGACACTTTTTCACGGTTCGGCGGCCGGTGACCGCGGCCCAGCTAAGCGCTGTGTGACACTCGCTCGGGAACAGTCTTCGAAGTCGAATATCACGGGTAATAAGCATTATCGTCGTTGTTACCCATCGAAAAAATTTCCCATATTTAATTATGTACAGAATATGTCCATATGTAAAAATACATAATTTCACCACTATATAATTATATATTTTCATATATGGACAAATTTCATACACACACACACACACACACACACACACATACGACGCCTTATATATAATTATATCTAATTATATATAATTGTACATCTAATTATATGTAATTATATATAATTTTATACAATTGTGTGTCTGATTATATATAATTATATACGAAAAGTTTTTTTACGGGTATCATCATCGTCACGGTTTTCGTTACCCATCACTGGCAAGGCTTTACGACCGAAGTCGATTCCAGTGGACGATGATTCGACGAACCGTCCCTCGACCTGCCCGACTACAAACTAACTTATTCAGCGCGATAACACCATCGCTCCCCGATGATGCGAATTTCATTGCGTGAAAATTATTCGCCAGCGATAACGTTTATTTATTAATTTTTTTTTTCTTCGCTGACGTCACTCGCACTCTGTCGACGGAGAGAGAAAGAGAGAGAGTCTTTTAGCGACACGTCAGAAATCCAAACAACTTCATCGTTCAACGAATGATAACACGCGCGCGCTTAATCGATGAAAATCGAACGGCAATACGTGGGTATCCAATATTCTATCCGGATATCCGATTATTCGGATAAAGGATAAATGTGAAGTCCGAAGCCAGAGTCGGATCTAAATTCGTGACAGAGTCGATCAAGCAGACACGATTGCAGTAACTCAGATCTCTCTTCAATATTTAATAATCTTACGTGAAAAGATGTTGACACATTGAACGTCGTGAGGGTCATCGGTGACCAACGACTGTGATATTACTGTGCCTTCTTGTATATAAAATATAATTGCATTCTAAAAAGTAACTTGCATAGACAATAAAGAGCTAATGAAACGAAGTAAGAGATACATGTGTCCTGAATTATAGTTTCACAAATAACGTCTTTTAGATAATACGACGTCTAAAGGACATCTTTTATACATGTGTGTGTTTGCGTATTTATTTACTGCATCTTTAATGACGTAATTATCAGACGATCAATGAAAGTTAGCGCGACATTCAACGTGTTAATTTACGAACTATCAAGACGCGAGATGACAGCCGCCCGGGATGACTGTGCATCGAAATTTTGGGACAACCAATCGACACTGTGAGAAAGGGATTACAGTGTTTCTAGACGTTCCGAATCCGGATCTCGATTCTGGTCGGAACTTGAATATAAATTATCCCGGTTACCTGAACAGTACGGATCGATCTCGGATAATCAGACATCCGAATACCTGAGTGGATACCTTTAACCCTTAGCTGACACACGGGGTTAAAAGTACCCCAGAGTGTTTTTGAACGCAAATTTTTTATAGCTGCGCGCCAAATTTGGTTCTGTGGCATCACCTAGTATTAGTCGAGGCTTGACCCAATATTGATAAATAAAACAATTATACACATTTTTTCTCGCTGGGGTCCAAAATACCCCCTATAGCCCGTACATTATTATTTTGACGTGTGTCAGCTAAGGGTTAATATCTCCACCGGCAACAAATTATGATAATCTATCTCTCACCTCTCGCCACCGGAAAGCAATATTGTTAAAAAAAAGTAACATACACGAGTATAAAAAAGATACGAAGACTGAAGATCGGGTAAAAGTGCATTTTGCGCTTTTAGCGGTCTAGAAAACACGGTCCGCTCGCCTAAGACTACAAGTAGATGGAGAGGAGGTCACCGAGACTACCAAGAAACGTAAGTCTGCGGCTCGACGGAGACCGACCCTCGATCGCGTAGAACGCAGGTGTGGGATCGCTTTCAAAAAGAGTCGTCGTCGTCTGTTTGCTTCGTCTCGTCCCAACGATATTGAGGCGGCTTGCCGCACGAACGACGCGACTCTGAAGATCGTCTCCTTCACGGTCCTACACGAGACCGCCTCCGCTCGTTCGAGTCTCACCTGGGAACTAACGTTCGAATTTGCGGCACTGGAATGTCCTCGAGAAACGCGACGACTCCTGTCGACGAGACGACGACGACGGCGGCGGCGGCGGCAGCGGCGTGGAAGAGACGCGTCTAAATCGATATTCTTCGCAAGAGAACGTCACAGTCGCACGTGTTAGCCGAGGAGAAACTTTTCGTCGAACGTCACTTCGATCGTATGTATATATATCGTATGTATATCTAGTGGAAATGGAAGATGCGTTAACGCGCGCTTTATTGCCCTATGACCCTACGGGAAGAACGAATCGTCGATTAAACCGGAAGAAGCCTCGAGAATGCGCGAAGACTCGACTCGCGGAACCTCCTCGATCATCCTGGTCAGTATTGTAGCAAAAGACTCGGCTTGGGAAACCGAAGGAGAATCGTTACGGCGATCACTTTTTCTACGAGATCGAATTTATACATCGCGCTCCCGTCGGCTCGATATAGCGCGCCATTCTCCGTATCGGCGACTTCTCTCTCGGAGTTCCTTCCAAACTTCGGCCGAGCACCTTAGCGTTGTTTCTTCATTTTCGCGTCGCGATCGGCGCTGTCGATGGGCGAGGTGCTGGACGTGACCTCGGGTCACCAGGCCTCCGTGTATCGAACGTCGAATTCCTGCAAAGCCGGCAGCCGTTTCTTCAGCGACTCGAACGTCTGCGCCGACAGCTTCGTGCTGTTCAGATTCAGTTTCCTTAGGCTGGTTAATGCTGCAACACAATCGGCGATATTTTCTTTCGAGCGAGTAAGTGAGCGCAGTAAGTAAGTAAGTAATGCCCTTTCCCGTGCGTTCATTAGCTCGGACAATATAATTCATTCCTCGCTAACTATTTTGCAAAATGATAGGACTTTTCTGCTCAGTTTCACCCCGTCCTACTTGCACACCACGGGAAGCAAGAATAATTTGGGACACCCTGTGTATAGTTTTGCATAATTAAATTTTAACTTTAACAAGTTAATTTAATTTTAACTCAACTTTTAATTAGTTAGTAACTTGTAATTGAACTTAAAAGAAGAAGTTACTTTATTCAACCCCTATTTTATTCCAATAGCAAATCAACGAGGACAGATTCACTCAGCAGAATATTTTCCATCCCAGCGAGAAAACTGCTTTAATTACGAATAATTCGCTAATTTGGTTACGCCAACCGAAAGTCTTGTCGCAGCAATATTATCTTTCTCCGTCTACCGTTCCTCCACGTTCGAGATATACTCACAGGCCAATGTGGAGATGCCTTTGTCGGACACGGGCGTCTCGCAGAGATTCAGGACCTGCAGCTTCTGCAAGTGCTCGCTGATCATCTGTAGGCCGGCGTCGCCGAATTGCGTGGCCCACAGGTTCAGGTACCTCAGCGCCGGTAATTTGATCAGCTGCTCCGCGCACGCGGACGTCACAGAGGTGAAGGCCAAACTGAGGCACTCGAGGTTGCCGAGGGCACGACCGCCCAGCAAAAGGGCGACGTCGGCGTCGGTCGCTCGTACCGGTAACGTCAGTTTACGCGGTCCGCCCTTTTGTTGCTGGCGAGAAACGGCCGCACAATTATTCATACATTTTCCAATTGTTAAATTAAGTGGGTTTTACATTATTCAAATATACGCTCCGGCGAGGCGTTGCTTTACGCTCTGCTGCCTACCGGGAAGTAGATACCGGTAGGAAGTGGTTAGACACTCACGGCCTTATCTCAACGGAACTCCGCAGTCTTTCCGATTGCAAAGCAGGCGGACTACAGTGAAAAATCAATTTAGCTGGAAATAGGCAACGAAAGCGGCATTTTTGGAAACGAAATTTCTAGTTCCGATAAAGCAAATTTGCTTCTCTTCGACGAAAGTGCGCGTTTAATTGCCCATTGTCAGGTAGATCCGACCAAACTCATTTCTCAGTGCAGAGCCGTTCGATCGATCACAAAGGCGCTGAGACTCGAATGATTCGCTTACCAGCTCTTGCAAGTTCTTCTGTCTCTGACAGAGAGCGACGTAGCGCTCCTTCCCGGATTCCGTGGACTCGAGCGCGTTGACTATCTGAAGCCTCGCCTCCTCGTTCGCCAACAAACGCCACTCGAGCATCAGGCAGAGCGCTTCCTGCGCGGCGTCGCAGCCCCGCACCGCCAGCAAGATGCAATCGTCGCCCGCTTGTTTCAGCAGCGACGCGATAAATCTCTTTCGACGGCAGCAACACGCCAGCAGGGTCGTGAGCTGTTGGAAAAGGGGAATTCTATCGTGAGCGTAATCCACTCGAACGAGCAACATATTGCGCACGGAAGAAATTCCAGGCTTATATTCGTTATCTCATATGAAGATAAAACCTGCTTACACAAAGAAATGTTATATAGTTCCATTAAAAAGATCGTATTCGAAAATAATTCTTGCAAATTGAGAAGAAAAGGATATTGGATAGAAATCAAGATGTCTTCGAACCGACGCAATTCATTTCATTCAAGTCTTCATATCCAATATTTTTTACACAGAGAGAGAATTTCTTCATGGGTAAGCAAGTTTTATATTCATATAAGATTATATATTCTTATTTGTATATGACAATACGAGTATTGAATAATTCTTTCGTGTACATATGTTTATATTATAAAACTTGATACGAATTTTTTCCCACGTGGTAACGACCGATCGATTCGTGAAAATTTCGCGACAATGTTAACAGCATTATCGCTGAATTCGCGAGTTGACGGCGATGGGATTCGTCCGATACAAAACATCCGTCGCGACGAACGCTTCCTGCGCACCATTCATTTTGCCCGCAATCAGCCGGCAAACCTCATTAATTCCGCGCGGTGACGGCGATTCAGTTCCACGGTTATACTCGAGATTGGAATGGACGCTGTCAATACTGGCCCATTGAAGCCTCTTGCGTGGCGATTCATGAATATTCAGACGGGTCTTCCGATCGAATCGCGTGAGAATAATTCGCCGGCCGTGATGAATTGTTTCTGAACGACGGATCTTATTCCAGGGTTATCGCTAGGAGAGCCGGACTCTCTCTCGCGAGACTGCAATAATCGTTCCACGTGTATAGTAAATTCTGTCTCGGTTGCGCCGATAAGCGCGATAGTGGCGTATCTATCCTCCGCTCGATATTTATATCTTTAGCCAAATGTGACCCAAATATAGAGCGAAGCGAGACGTGCGCGAAATTAACGAGACAAATGTTACGTTTCGTGTGAGACAATTCCTGAACATTCAAGTTTATACAGAGAGACTGTCTCTTTCGTTGAAAAACCGTGAATGAAACCTCTTTGAGAGAGAAAGCTGGAGAGAATGAGAGATCGCGGCACTCACCATCTCGCCGAACAGCTCCCCGCGGTCTGGACAGGCTGGACTGGACGGTGCGGCGATGTGGATCCAGCCTGGACGCGGTTCCCTAACGGGCAGCAGCACGCGATGGACCGTGCATCTCGGGTCCTTCGCTAGTCGTTCCATCACGCACATCAGCACGGATTCTTGCACGTCCCTCATGGCCAGAGCCTCCTCCGGGAACGGGACGGGCTGCAACAAGGCGCCGAGACCCGGACGCCAGTCGGCGTACTCCGATCTGAAAAGCCGAGTTCGTCGCTGCAACGCTCAGATTTGAGACAGACGTAACGTTTTTTAGTGACGACTTACGCGACATTCAGGACGAGCAGGTAACATTGTAACGGCGGCAGCGACGGCGGTTTGTCCTCGTTCGATGACACGCGACTCGACACCTCGAACCTGCAAACCGTTCTTTCTTTCTCTCTTCATTGTCACTCGGCTGAAAAACTCACCTATGGAATATAGCCGCGACGCAGATGGACACCAGATTGGGGAGCACTCTTGGGTGCGGACAGTCGCTTCCCGGCCCGTGGACCGACGAGATGTAATCCCTGATCGCCTGTTCGCCGTCATTGTTCTCGTACAAAGCAGCGACGAAAACCTGCGCGTATAAATAACACTCGATATTTCAAAGTGTTTGTTTGTTGCATTTTGTGTGCCAAAGCGAATGTTATAATAAGAATAATGAGTATGTGCGTGAAATATGCATAGAAAACAAAGTTTGGCTGAATATAGCTGACGATGAGACGTGTAACAACAGACGTGTAATTTTTACAAAAAAATTCAGGTTTCATACTTCTACACCTGGTATTTCCGCACGGAGAAATTAGAGTTTGGTTTTTTCAGATTCAATTCTCAGATTGATCCAACCAAGCTGGTTTTTATTTATTTATTTGATTGCTCGCGGGAAATGATTCTTCCTTTTTGTACACAAATCATTTAAGAATAGAAAATGAAAAAAAGTAATAATAAAGAAGTACGTATAAATAAAATAAAAAAAGCAGATTATATGAAGACTCGCTTAAATGCTTGATAAACTTATAATAATACTCGAAATATATATACGTATATTTAAATAATTATATATACTTCTTTCTATTCCGTGCATTTCCATTAGATTCGCCTAATTCAAATCATAATAAAAATAATATTAATAAGAAAAATAAAAAATAATATTTTCGTATTTGTAATACAATAATAATATTGTGTGCATATATCTATCTCAACTTCGTTTTAAATTAACATCTATTATTTAGATAGTGAGATAAAGGAACGTAATTTTGCTTGATAAATACTAAATTTATGAGTGGCTCCCTTGATTGGACATGAAAGTACCGCACTCTACGAGAAAACTACCTTAATGCCAAAGGACGTCAATTTGCATAATTTATATAATTTATATGTTTTCTTTCTCATTTTCTCCCTTTTCAGTGAAATATGTTCCAAAACATTATGCTATCCTTTATAAACTTTAAATCCTTGTAGATGGATAACCGTTTCGACACGTATATTCGTAGGACAGTTTCCACTTTAATTTACATCGGAAACATGCTCCTTAAGTTTGCACAGTATGTCATGTGACACTCGGTATATATATATGAGAAGTCACGTGCATCGGATGCCCACCTGCAGCAACTTCCTCATGTCCGGCGACTTGCCAAAGTCAACGGTGTGCTTGAGGCATCTCGTGATCGCCGGGCCGAGCGCCGGGACGAGCTGCGATCGCGGATGCAACTGCGCCAACCTGGCGAGTACTCGCGCGAGTGCCGGCGGCGGCGCCGCTTTTTCCAAGAGAGGTGCCACCACGGACAGCACGGCCTCCGCCCAATTTCTACGATCGCGGACAATCTCCTCGGTCTTGCCGTCCGAATCGGAATCCACGACGGGTTCGTCGAGTAATTTGGCGACGGCCTCCAACGGGGCGCCCGCCACCCTCTCGTCCTGAAGCGGCGTCCACAAGGCGAAGTCCACCATGGTGCGCAATTCGCGCAGTATCACCTCCTCCCGCGTGCTCATGGACACCAGGTGCTGGTACTTGAAGATGCTCTTCTGCGGGCGAGCGAGTCAACTTTGAATAATTCGCTCCGGTTTCATGAAAATCGACGGGAGAGAGAGAGACTTGACGCGTTAAAATAAAATTAAGTATTCTCTCGCGGCGGGAGATGATTTTTTTCTCTGTATAATTCAAGTTCTCGCGGGAAAAAGTATCTTGTTGGCACAGCAAATTTCTCGATTATCACGCGAACAGTAAAAAGATTTGTTTTCTGAATATATTTGAATTCAAGTATGTATTCAGATTGTCAAGCGCGAACTGTCGGGGCATTAACGGACGAGTTCTTCGGGCTATTCGGGTTTGAATGTCAAAGTTCCGGTGCGTTCGTTCCCGACTGCGCGAAATTGGAGATCGCAACGAAACGAAGAGTGTCTGCCATCGAATAAGGTCAACCTCGCGCGAGAGAGTCATTGACATCCAGTCGACAATGCACACGGACGATGTTTTCATCGGGGATACAACGCCTTAAACAATAAAATTCAATCAATCGTTATAGTCGGCCGGCCGACGCGCGATTTACCCGACGAGAGCGGCCGCCGATTAATTTCCAGACCGGATATTATACCGCTCGCGACGAACGCTATAAAATACTGACGTATCCGGAGATTTGATCCGAATGCGCGCGATCGAGAACTTTCGCCTCGCGCTCTTATCGCTTCTTCGCTACTTCGGCCCCCCGGTATAGCGAAGCATTGTATACGTGTAATGCAACCGTCTGTCTGCGTTTTCCGTCGGGAAAAAAGTAATTATATTAGCCGTGTATGTATAATACAACTGAAATTTAATTAGCATGCCTAGTTTTTATCTGTGGTAGCTAAAACGTACGTACAGGGACAAAGAGAATTAATGAAAATGAACGAAATTTCAACTGTATTATGTGGACAGCTAATTTTTACCGGTGAGAGGTAGTTTTCAGTTTGGGAACTACATCTTTTTTTTCCGTGCGTCAGAGAGGCATCGAAAGGTCGATGTATTTGAAAAGAATATTCGATATCAACGTTTGCATCCGAAGCTACTGACAGACCTCTGCGAAGTTAACTCCACTTTTTTTCAAATTTAAAGAAAGTCAGCCAAGTTCTGGTTGCCCTCCCCAAAAAGTTCTCAAGTTCTTAATCGATTTTAGTAAAAGTTCCGTCGATTAAAGCGATCAAAACACTATATAAAAGGGTACAACTTCATGATTGCGTAACTTTAAAATGGCATAACTTTTTTACCTTAAATTTTAGCGCACCGATTCTCGCGGATAATCGATAGAATCTTTCGAGAGGCTATCAAAACTCTCAACGGAACGCTAAAATTCAAAAAAAGATTTCACCCTCTGGAGTTTAAAAAATTTCGAACCCTCCGTACCTTCATATGATACTTTGATCGCTTTAATTGACGGAATTCTTTTTGAAATCAACTAACTCAATCAATTTCTCTTCGGATGGCAAACAGAACTGTACTCATTTGTTTCTTAATTTTGAAAAAGTGCACTGAGAAAACCATTTAGTTGACTCAAAAATTCTTGGTGATAACCAAAATTTGGTTCTCTGACTTTCGATTCAGGGAGTCAAACTTTGTTTTTCAAAAGCAGAACATTTATTTGGCCACATCCAAACACGAATTTCGTTTGAATCGACTAAATTCCTCAATGCAGTGGACTAACGCGAGAATGTTTTACGAGAACGTGAAAAAAAAAACTACGCTAAGACGCGATCGAAGGCAATCGATTTTCACCGGGGGATAATGGCGAGCGATAACGAGCTTTTTGTACCTTCCATAATATCGAATGATACCACTGGTCCCTCGTGTAAGCGTTGCTGGCTTGCAGAAGAAGCGAGCCATCTGGCAGGACGATGCTGAGGCAGTTCTTGTAGGCGGGGTCCCATCTGGCGACAACGTACTTTCGCACCTCCGACATGCTGCTGTACGGCACGGGTTGCTGCAGGAAACCCGTGAGCTGAAAAGGAAAAAAAAAACACGAGCGGGTCAAGTTGAAAGGCTCCTCCGTGCTGTTGCTTGCGATCGACGATATTGCTAACGAGCCCGCGATCGGATTAACAGCCGTTACCGGCCACTCTCTCGCAGTTATCCATTGTTTCCGCTGAAAAGCTCGAGATATTAACGGGATGTTAATAAATACGTGTTTATCGGGCAAAATATCCGCGCGCAAAAATAGACGCCCGGCGTCCATTATTGGTGTGTCGGATTGCGTACGAAGGAACGGTTAATGAAAACACCGATATGCTATTAATAAACTCGACAACGGTAATAATTAATCGTAAATGTAGTAATCAATACACATCCGAGCTAACCATCTCGTTCATTATATAATTAAGCCGCGGTGCGAAAGAAACGCGAGCGTTCGAACGGCAATGCGTTATTATATTCGGAATTCAATGAAACGTATCGCGTGTGGCCAAGAATTCGCGGCAGACCTGTCGTTTCCTAAACATGATGTCACGATAAAAATATTCAGACACAGCTAACTCGTAAATCGATCGCATGTCGTACGAAGCAGCGGAAGGGGAGGATACGTCGAAAGAAATCTATTAAACGTCCCTCGATCATTATCGACCATTAATCGTTTCGCGGCCTTCGTAATCGCGGATTATTAACGCCGTTTGACGTACGCACGCGACAAAAGAACGTCATCGCCGATTACATAAATTCATCTGCGCGTGGCGGATAATGAAAACGCTCGAGCGTAATTCCGGTGTTATTCCGCGAGACTCGTCAATACCAATACACGTATCGAGCAAAGTTTTGCGCGCATTTTCTCGTGCATTGATCGAAAAACAACCGAAGAATATCTCTTGCAAATATTCCATTATAATTGATTATCTCGCAACAAAAGCGGAAGATTATACAACGTAATTCGTCCGCTTGTCATTGATTCGATGTCAACATTGAAATCGCGCTTTTCAGCCTCGCAAAGAAAGGTAAGGGTCATTCATGATCCCAGCAAGACGTTTGTTATAATATTCTTGAAATATATATTCTTGCTTATTGTTCCATACACATGACATGCTCTTGTCATGACACGCGTGCATACACGAGTACCATTGTGACACGTACGCGACATATCATTGTATGAAGATGCCAGAATATATTTAAATAAGAAGCGTCGGCAATTTCTATTATAAGTTTAAGGAGTTTCACGCGTTTACTTCGCACAAAAAATCTCAGGCAGACTGCTACATGACTGAATTTGCATCCCGTGACGCGTAGAAAAAAAATTTAGTATCAATTTAAGACTTCTTATTCATTTCTATTCAAGTACTGTCGTACACGGAAAGAAAAAGATATTAACTAAATTAGTTGTAATATATAGACATAACTTTCGCAACGGAAGCAATTTTAATTACTGCAAACTTTTTTGCTAATGCAGCAAAACGTATTATCATAAATGATATTTACGATATTATGTTTGCTGCATCGGTAAAAAAAATTTGCTAATGCAGCAATTAAAATTGCTTACGCTGCTAAAATTTTAGATATTCATATAACTAATTTAATAACTGAAGCTAATTTTTTATGTATACTTAAGCAACGTATAATCTTATAGATCATGTCATGTGTATAGAACAATAAACAAGAATATATATTTCAAGAATATTATAACAAACGTCTCGCTGGGATCATGAATAACCTCTACCTTTCTTTGCGAGGCTGAAAAGCGCGATTTCAATGTTGACGTCGAATCAATGAGAAGCGGACGAATTACGTTGTATAATCTTCCGCTTTTGTTGCGAGATAAGATAATCAATACATATAATCTTACAGATTATGATAGATAATTTCCTTACATGAAGGTAAGGAAATTCTACATATAGTTCTACTAAAAGTATTATACTCTTGTTATTCAAGAATATTTTTTTATGAATTAAGAGGAAAAAATATTGATTGGAAGGAATGATATTTTAAAACTGATACAATTCTTAACTTGAACATAAGAAGGATAAGAAGGAACTAAGGAAAAAAAGCTAATTCTTTTTTCTGTGAACGACTATAGTTATAAAAATTCCCTATAAAAATTTCCCACAGCTAAAATTAAGTCTGGTAACTAAATTTATGTATTATATGGACAGCTAGTTTCTAACTATGGGAACTAATTCTGTTCTTTTTCTTAAAAATGTCGTTCCTCCATCTAATATTCTTCCTCTCCATGAAATTTATTCTTGAGTAATAAGAGAATATATTTTTAGTGGAACTGTGTATAGAATTTCTTTATATAAGCAAATTTTATCTTTATATAAGATTATATATATTCTTGCTTAAATATGTAAGAATATGAGTCTTAAATCGATACTATCCTTTTTCCGAATGAAATAACCAATATTAGAATGACCACGTTTTCCATCCTATATGATGTTATTAATTACAATAACCGTTTCGAAAGTTTTCACTCTTTCACCGGTTTCTTCGAAATTCCGTTCAAGACTGAACTGCAATTGAGATTATAATGTAGAAAGCGGCGTACGAATTAAGTAGGTGTGAATTAATCAACGCAGAATTTAGGCGCGACCGGGCCTTCTAAAGCGACGCGATCACCAGGGCGCATAAAACGATTCGCCCGGCGAATCTGACGACAAAAAAGCCGACTCGGCGAAGGAGCGTGGAACACGCGAGAGTGAGCGCGGTAGAGGAAAAGGGACGATGAGCTGAGGAGAAGTTGCATAATGCAACCTGATGAGGACAATGCGCCCAGGTTCGCGCATCACTCGGCGTCTCGAGTTCTGAGACTGCACGGGGCATGATGTCGACCGTGTGTAATATCGACGACTAATACAGAGACGCGAGTATCTGCGTGTGGAATAGTGAATGACGTCAGTGAGGCGTGAATCTAGGCCGAGGGTTGAACGACTGTTGGAGCGGGCTCGGCCGAAACTGGGACGCCGCATCCCCTCGCGGCCGAAAGGCGACGCCGGAACTCGCGGTGTCTGTCGCGAATGTTCGCGGCGGTCTATCTCAATCAATGTCCGATCGGCCGTTGTTACTTTGTGCATCTTGACTCCTCGAAGCCCGGACGACTGGAAAGATTGGGAGAAAAATTCTGCCCTCGGGCTGAATCGCGGAGAAAAGGGGACACGAGTTGCAGCCCTCTCCAGCCCCGCAGTTCTGTCCGAGATCGTTTTTGCTTCCCTGTTACGTGATTCCATGTGATTCGAGCGAGCGTTCTTTGTTTCAAGAACATCAACCCTTCGAGTGGCATAGTCAGTCTCTCGTTTTCCAAAATGAAATCATTAAATACTTGGCAATTTATTGCTGACAAAACAGCTATGTGGTTTTCAAGTAGAAGGAAGTTCCGATAATTTTTGGAGATCTTTTCCAACAGCTCGAAAGGGGGAAAGATCGAGGAAGACACAAATGGTTGTCACTCCGAAGATAGTACGTTGCCACTCGGAGGGAAACAAAGTCATAAAATGTCAGATAAAACGGAGATGTAAAAGTGATTTCGGATCAAATATATCCGAACGGAAACGACGAAGAAGGATGTAGAATAAGGCGGCCTGTATATTTTCTTAAATAGATTTCAAAAGACGGCGATTAAAAATGACTTAGGATCCGCGCCCGACGAGATAAATATGCAAATCGACGTTTCGAAGCGAACAGCTATGCATACTTATCGCGAGGAACGATCGAGCGATATTTATTTTAAATACCACACACGTCGTGTTCGCGGACGAATGTGTCGTTGAATTTAATCTTTATTGGCGTGCAAAACACGGCGCTAACGCGCTCGAACAAATTGCGTTGTTTGCGAATAAAGTAGCATTTTTCACGAATCCGCGCCGCTCGAAGGGCGCATCGCGCAATTAACACGGAGTCTTTCGCCGTGAGAGAGCGCCGATTCAAGGTCATCTTTTGTAGATGATCTCACTCGGTTCTTTTTATGTATCTGCGCTACGCGAAGATCGCCTATGCATATACATGCAACGACACTATGCATATTCATGCGTGACGTAAACGATAACGAAACGACTTTAACGTCCATTATTTCACTGGAAAGTGGTTGAATTTCGTGACTCAATAATAATAAGAATCCACCGGCAGCTCGATTATTATACCCGTAACTTTGAGGCTGCATACATCCGGACGGAACGAAGAAAACGCCCAATGTTTGAATTTTTCTGCCGACCATATTACTGACTTTATGAAGATGTCCTTTGTGAGGGATGATTATACATACCGTTATTTACATGAAGACCATTAAAAAAACGTTCATATGTGACGCTCTTACTATTGCTTATGTGAAACTCGTCAATCGACACCGAAAATATCTTGGGAATTATATTGGACCGCATAATAAGTCACCTTTCTCTCTTTCTTACGTAGCATCTGCACTTCGTTTTATTTGATACTTCTCTTTATAACTATATACTTAATAATTTTCTATCCTTACGCTCGAGAGAAAACCTTTCCCAGAGCGCATAATAAATCATCTCTCTCTCTCTCTCTCTCTCTCTCTCGGCTCACATCTAAACCATCCAATTAATGCATAATGAGAAAGATGTGTGTTTCTATAATTAAAATAACCGGATAAGGCTATCTCACGGGAACGTCATTACGCGATAATGCGTAAAAACAGGAATAAGTGAATGACACGCGTGTGATCCACTCGCAATTCGTTATCGCGTGGGCAAATTGCGACTCTCTCTTTCTCTCGAGTACGCCGACATCGGGATTTTGTATCGGCAGCGAATGTAAATTCCAGAGCGGCTTATCGCTAGTAAATTACGTCGGTTACTCATTTTGCGCTCCACTGTCTCTACCACATCCCTCTTTAAATTGCGCGTTTGTTCCCGAGACACATAATCGACGCGACCGTTTACCGAAACGCCGCTGCTCGTAATTGCATATCATCTAAATCTAATTGTTCGAATGCTGACGACGACGGGAGACACCGGCTATGCGCGCGTCACGAGGATTCGCGCGCTTCCTGTTCGTCGTGATTGT